GTAGATGACATGATATTGAATGGAAGAATCTTATCCCATTTACTGTCATTATATCAACATGGAGGGTTACATTCCTATAGTTTTCCAAAATGTTGAAAGGTACTTGTGTTACATCATCCCTCATATGGTCTGCGGTTGACTGGGTTTGTTTTCCTTTAATTATACTGGTGTGTTTGCCGTAAAATGCTTCAGCATTTTGCATGTCTCTACGGGTAACAACAGAATTAGCAATCATTTTGCTGTCTATCATATGGATGAGGTCTTTTGTTGTTGGGAATCCAAGGATTTCTTGCAATTGCCTTGCCTTTGCTGCACGCCTGCAGTCTAAATCAGATAATCTTTCCTTGTTTCCTTTGACAGATGCTAGTGTTAGCATAGTCCCCTCCTTGCTTATTTGCGACTTGTTGTAATAATATAGATTGCATTTTGATCAACTGAAATGTATGGTGCTGCCATCATCTCTGTGCAGGTGGATTGCATTGTCAAGTGCAGTATCCATAGTAACTCTGTGCCTGTCAGATACTAGAGCTAAAGAGAGTACGCTTGCTATTCCATCTTTATAGAACCATACTTGCCCAAAAACTGGTAAGTCAGCGACTTGGTTGGTGTATGCCACTCCTGAGTTGCAGTAAATGTTCATACTCTGTCCATTTGGTTTCTTTCTGATGTTCTTGACTAGCTTTGGGTTCGTGATTAGATTACAGGAAGACTCACTGTCAAAAAGAATCCAGTTCTCATTGACCCGTCCCTTCTTTGACTGTGCAAGGAATTGTTCCACTTTTGGGCTGTACCAAAACACTGACACCACCCCATAGTAACGTAGAGCCTGCCTGTCAGTGTACGCAATATCTAGGGCAGCAAGTAACTGTCCATACTGCCCTTTGTATGACTTTAAATTGTCCGCATCTCTAACCTGTGTCAGTGTTGTTCTTAATGGTGGCGCTGTGGCCATGTTGATTATGTGTGTACTAGTCTAACTACTAGCCCCGTGAGTTCAGATGAGGTATCATCATCACCGTCAACGACATCATCATCTGCACTCCTCAAACTCCCGCAGCTGTTGGTGGTGGACTACTCTTTGCAACATTGCAGTGTTGCTTCCATGTCCTCCTGAGCGTCTCAGTTTGCCCAGTACTCCCAGTTGTCATTGTCATCAGTAGCATTGGTCTGGCTTGTGGAAGTTGAGCAGTACACACTAGTGTCGTTGTATTTCATGCTGTTGCTTCTTGCAACTGTATCCTCATCGTTGCTACCGCTGTATTGCACCATGTGACATTGTGCAGATGCTGCGGTTGATGTGTTAGTTGATTTGTTGCTTACAATCTTGCATATTTGGAAGTACTAGTTATGTATCTCTTGTCCAAAATCGTCATTGTTTTCTACAGCCATCATTAGGACCTGCTTGCTTGATAGTGTCGCCTTGCTCTTTTCTGACAAGCCCATGTTGACAAATGTGTTGGCTTCCTGTTTGAGGTTACTATCTTGTTGGTGATTTGCATTGCTGGCATGTTGTTTAAGTTTCATCTGGGCTTAGGTTTTGCCTTCTTTGTTCCCTTGAAGTGATTCAGCATCTCTAATGCCTTAGTAGTGGTTGTTGGGTATTGATTCACTCCTAAATTGAATTGGTTCGCAAGCGTTTCCTTGAGCATGCTAGTTTCTTCATCGCTTCCTTCAATGATTATAGCAGACACAAATGGCTTCTTAGTCTTGTTTTTGCAATCAAGGCCAAGGTATTCTTGGTATGATAGTGATCGGCCGCTGCCCTTGTCTGTGTATCTTTCCTTATTCATGTCCAATTCGTGTTTGATAAGCATCAGGCAAATATATTCCCCTCCTATGGTTTCCAGAACCTCACTGAATTGAACCACCTGTTGCATGTAGGCTGTGCAGTCCACTGTCCTTTGTCTGGAGCAGAGGAGCTTCCTTAGAGACCTCACCAGGTTTGTTGGGGTGTGCATTTTTGTTTTGTTTCCTTGAAAGCATACGTCTCTTAATAGCTTCGTCAGTAGTTCAACAGGGCATTTACTTGTGTTGATAGTTTCCTATTTATYGTTGCTTTTCAGCTTCTCCTTCATTCCATCATCTATCTGCCCCAAAGCCAGCAGTGTATACTGGACTTTCTCTAGGTCATTGTTGTAGGTGTTAAGTTCCTTGACACTGTTCCTTGTACATGTCAGTTATGATTTCCTTCAACTCTTCATCTTCATATTCTTCCCCTTTTGAGTTTTCTCTTGTCCATTTGTTCTTGGACAGTTTGGTTGGGGCGAAATCAGCCCTTTTAAAGCGCCTTAGAATTTCAATGAAAGTGCCTACTAGTACCTTGGGAATGTACTTTGATCCTCAACGGTTTGTAGACACTCCTGGAAGTTGGTGAATTGGGTGATGCTGCCATCTTTGGTGAGAACAATGCCTTCCAAATCCCCTTTGCTGTGTCCAGTGAATTTCTTCGTACTGTCTTGCTTGTTTGCGTTGTTGTTATTACTATTGCAATTTGTGTTATTGTTTCTTYGTGGTTTGACTGTGGACCATTTGGATGATGACAAACTCGATGAGCTTGTCTTCTGGTYCTGTTTGTTCCCATGGGAATCCATGGTTAAATGTGGATATTGCCTCCTTGGAGGCTACTGTTTGAATGGACCCTTGGCCTCAAGATACAGCCTGTCTGTGATCCTTGGATCAGGACACAAGCTGGCAATGGACAATAAGACGTCTATTGGCTTGGTTCCTCTTTAATATTTTATGTTAATTTGATACGCTACAACGTACAAAGTCTTAAAGAGTGTAGAGATAACCCTATTGACTAGATAAAATATTAAAAGAGTGAGATCAACACTCTACTTTCTCTGGGTATTGTGTATCACTATTGGATCATATTCTGATCTCTTTTGACAAATTTTGTCCAACCTGGCCATAAATTGTGACTGAACATAAATTGATAAAAATTTGATAAAACTCTGACCGTGCATCCTCGAAATCTCACGTCTGGTAGTCAACACTTTTTGTGGGCAGCAGCAACAATACAGTAATGGCGAATCTCTCCGAGAAATCGGATGCGTGCTTACTCATTTCCAGCTCCAAAATCGAATCAACACTCTATTCACAAATTGAACCAACACACTGCTGACCAATACACTCACTATTTGGATCCGTCGCATACTCTGCAGATCCACAGCTTTGACCATCCAACTTTCTCACCTCAAACTTTGAGTTTGGATTTTCTGGTTCCAGCCAGCGCAGCATCGAACCGCCGGAAAAAACTTCAGCCTCCAATTCGGAACGTTTCTGGTTGAAGGCAGAGACGCTGTTCTTCTTTGTTCCCGTTGCATACATATCGGAAATTGCCTTTGTGTTTGTGAATGGCACAAAATTCTGAGTCGTAGGGGAGGTTAACGGATCAATCCCATAGCCCCACCCTTTACCATAATGTACCAACTTTGCTGGGACGGGAGGATTACAGCACTGAACTCCTGCTGTTGGCAACCCTTGGCATGGGAGAACTCCACTTGATGGGTCACACTCGGGGACAACGCCTTGCCCATAGGGCAGCAATGGATTTGTTGGCATTGAGCTCCAGGCCTCCTGTAGCGCAAAAAAGTATTTGGAAGCATCAGCGTCGAATGTACCCCTTATGTTGACTAGTTCAAAAGCAATGTATCCATCAGGTATTCCAGGAGGTAAAGGGGGTAAAAGAAGATCGTACGCCGAATCTATGCCCCCAAAGAGAGTGTTGTACTTTTGATCAAATTCCGCTTTGATTTCATCAATAGGCGGAATTGGATTGAGAATTGCTGTCGTTTTGGGATCTAGGAATCTGAATTCAAGGTTGCCGTTAGGGGCAAATGACGTATTATCCAATTTACCTGTCGTTACCTTCGAAGTGATATCGTACCAAGTGGCGAACGCAGTCGCGAACGCTCGAGCGGGTAGAAATGCAATCACAGAGTCAAAAGAGGATGTCGTATCGAGAATGAAGTATCCATCGTTAGAGGTAGAGGAACCAGCGTCCCATGCACCATCCAGAATAGTCTATGCATGAGATTATAGCGAAGAATCGATAGATGATRAGGAATCAGTAGAGTTTACAAATATGCATATCAAATTCAACGGAAACTATCTCACCTGAATGGATGTGCTCAGTGCTGCATTCACCTCAAGTGGCACATTGCATAAGTCAGCTCCCGGTACCAATTGAGATGGAATTCGCACACAAGGACTTCCATCTCCACCTCCAGCGGGTGGACCTGTAGGAGGGACACAGAAAGATTCACACAACGCTTCTGTACTCAAATCGACACGTTGTCCGCCTGTGAATGCTGAATCGGAATTCAATTTTGCTAAATTCTGCGTGGCAACACTGTATGCCTGGGCTTTTCCCACATCAGCAAAATTGCCATTCGATCCAGAAAATCTTTTTCCTCCGAAGTTTGTGCGATACTCACCAAGAGCATTATTATAGAAATCGTAGAAAAATTGCACACTCTCAGATACCGCAGACGTCTCTAAGACTTTCGTTGAGACTTTTGTTACTAAGTCAGCAAATGTTTCCTCGTTTATTGGTGACGGAAAGGTGCTTTTCTCTCGTTCCATAATCAAGCCTCCTTTAGATGGATCTACAATCGGCTCACCCGTTTCAGGATCAAGGCCAGCAATGAATGGGAGAGCCTCTGAATGCATGTTCATTTCGACGGAGAGGATGAAGCCTAGTAGCCCAGCTGAAGATCTCCAGTAGTCCAGATCGTTACCTTCAACCTCTTTGATTGTCCCATCTGATGTCATGACGAGAACTTTCACAACATCGTCGTGAATAAATCCTGCTGTACGGCCACCACCATGCACCATATTTGCTATTACTCCTCCCACACTAAAGTATTGAGCTGTGGTTCGACTAAGCTGTACAAATCCATGAGGGCGAATCAAAGCGGATACGTCGAACCAAGATTTCCCTGCACCAATGCGGAATGTTGAGGATTCGGCGTTTATAGAATCACTCCAACCCTCAACTTGCGTAGAGTGGGATGCGAGAGAGATGACAACGACATCTTCTTCAGTCCGCTGCATGACCATTCCGTCTTGAGTATGCCTTGCTCCCATCGTACGGATCTTACAACCATGCTTCTTGGAGTTCTTGATGATTTTCATCAACTCGCTATCCGTTGCGGGGCGAAATATTGGAGCAAAAGTAGCAACGTCACCTACCCACGTCTCCCAATTTCCATCTTCTGCAATGAGACGAGCACATCGATCTGTTTTGAGGATATTCTTCTTCGGTGACTTTGCCTTTTTCGGAGACTTTGTCGCTTTTGGTAGTTTCTTGGCCGATTACAACATAATCGCGGAATTATTTGTGTCAGTTGATAAGTTCCTCTGATAGAAAATCACATACGATGCATGAAAACTTACCTTCAGCCTTCTTTCCTTGAAACGAGGGCTGGGATCTTGGTCGCTGTTATCAGCTTCAGTAGAAGCACGAACTCGAAGCAGGCGTCCGCCTTCCGGCCCGGCTCCAACCTCTTCGAAGCCTTTCATCACACCATCYGAGACTGTCGTCAACGCTGATCTGCTCTTGGCAAAAATATTTGCAGCAAGACGAACACTATCATTGTCTGCAATCTTGTGTTCACCCACATTCGTTTTGTCTATCTGGATCTTTTTGTCTTGCTCCCCTGTAACTATACTCAAAAGGAGTATTAAAAGTAGAGGACCAAGAAGATGCATTGTAACAATTTTCGGTCTGCCCATTCCTTTCCCTACTTATGCTGTTGCGTGGCCCTGAACTTTTTGGTATTAAGGTGACTCAAGCAAACGCTTGTTTTCTTATCTTGAACTCGGATGCGAGTTTTGTACGTTATTTCTGTGATATCGTAAATTGTAAGTGTTCAGAGTACCTACCAAAAAAAATAGAAGTTCTTCCGTTACGGAACTTATGGATTTCGTACGACTAGTACTTCAACGTGCCTAGGTACCGTACAGTCAGTATTCGTACTATTACAAGGTGTCGTTCTAAAAACGTTCTCCGAGTGTACTTGCGAAGGTTGGGCTGATGAGTGTTGAGTAAAGTAACATATGTTGTTGCTCATAACCTGCGAAATGCTGATAGGCTCCTTAGTCTACGATAATACGTGGTTTACAATAAAGAGTGAGCTTATTCACTATCTACTCGTGATTTAAGCTCACAGTATTCAACGAATCGAAGAACAAGAGTCTTCATCGTGTCAATAGTTGTGATCGTCCTCTACTCTCTTACTCAAGATTTATGTACGATACTGTGCMTACAACAACATCGATAAAAATTGCTAAAAAACGAAAAACTCCGTGCCAAATACTGTATGAACGACTACTACGAGTTTCGTACCGGTAACAATTGCACATCGTCTTGCCCAGAGAGCAAAAAGTTTTAATTTTAAGTTCTAAACTTCGATTTGAAGTTAAGAACTTCAGGTAGAAAGTCTACTAGGTTCTACTGAGCTAGTTTTTGGATGGCATTCATGATTGATTCATGATTGAATCACCTCATGACCATTTAAAATGGCCCTGAACCATTTTTTTGTTTTGAGGGGAATCGTGATTCATCCGTTCAGTCATTATAAAAATTAGCTCAGTAGAAGAACCTGGTACATGATGATGTACGAGCAAAAGTTCATAACTTCAAATTGAAGTTTAGAACTTCAAATTATTACTACTTTTTGCTCTCTGGGCAAGACCGTGTCGTGCAATTGTTATGAAACTCGTAGTAAATAGACCCCTGGGACGTTTGGCCTTAACCTACTGGTTTTGGCRGGTGCCCATGCATGTGCATACCCTCATTTTTTTCTGGTACTGTTCTTCTTTTCTTGTCAGAACCCACCCATAAGTAATTTATTTCCTTAAGTACTGAAAAATAACACA